GACACTCTGAACGATCCAGCACCGTCTAACACCAACCTGTTGATAGACCTAAAGAAAACGTTGAGATATGACGAAGTAGTCATTGGACTAGCCAATGGTTTGTGAGGAGGCCGTTCATGAATAGTGCAAATTGGTGGACGAGGGAGGCCATTCATGAATAGTGCAAATTGTTGTACGAGGTGAGTGGGTGAATGGGGAAACTCCTGATGTGCTCCAAGTGCTGGTAATCCGACTTGATGAGTACGTAGGCAACTACATAAAGTTGTTGGCTAGACATTCTCAAAAAGACCAAAGTGGAAACATTTTGCTAAAAGTATTGTTGGAATTAAAAAATCAGCAGTAATCCGTTGAAAAATCCAATGTGCCAATCTTCTCTACTGGCTTTCATTTGTTTACACCTGTGTAGCATCGTGTTCGCATTCGGTGACCGAACCCCAACGTTCGCAACCGAACGTGAATGAGCTCCAAAACCCTCCGAACGCGAACATAAAAAAAAAAAGTAGTTCTCAGAAAAAATTGAAAAAGATATATGTTATGTAAAATAATAATACAAACAACTTTTACCTGGGAGGTATGTGCAAATTCGTAACCAAAGTCAAGTTAAAAATAAAAAAAACTAAAAAATAATATCTTTAAAAAAAAAAGTTTGACCAAACACGTCGGGAGACATTCGGCCAAACACCTGAATATGTTCTGGCATTCGGGAATGCCTCGAACATGTTCAGTGTGCTACATAGGTTTACACCTTTCTTTTATGACAAAGAGAATCTCAAGATATTTAATGTATCTAGACAAGCTGCAAAAAAGAACATAATAGTTCCACATAGGTTTACACCTTTTTTTATGACAAAGAGAATCTCAAGATATTTAATGTATCTAGACAAGCTGCAAAAAAGAACATAATAGTTCCGGTACATACTTGCGGCGCATCCCGTGCGCGGGGTCGCGGCACATGCGGCGTAGAGCGGATGCGCATGCACGCGCGCGCACGTGATGCGGCACATCACCAAAAATATAAAAAAAATAAAAAAATTGAAAGGACAGGGTGGGGTGGCCAAACATCCCCCTCGCTTTTAAAAATCAGAAAGCAAGAGGGACAAAATTCGGGGCCACGCCATACCCCAAAACTGTGGGCACATGTCTATACATGTGAGCATTCCCGTTTTAATTGTGTCCCGCCTCTTTTTTTTTCCGAAGGGCCCCTACAGCTAATTAGCTAGGACCCCACGTGTAGCAGAGGTACACTTCAAACTTCCAGTTTGTAAGCATGGGCCAAGATTATATAGTCTGGATTCGAATTCAGGTCTGTGCATCTCAGTTTCAGCAGTTATGGGTTGCTCACTTAGCTAGGCCTGGTTGGTCTCTGCACGTGATTATCAAGGCTTGGCTGCACTACTCACTAAATGTGCAAAACTAGAATGAATCTTCCGCAGAACATGGAATAATGCGCCGCCATATGTATTGTCTTTTGTGCATGTGGTGAGTAGAGGCCCTTAGGGCCAGTGCACGTATTCCTAAGAGCAACCCATAACTGCTGAAACACAGACCTGAATTCGAATCCTTAGTATATATTCGGCCAGCTCGTGCTCTACTTCATATTCACTGCCTCAATGTCGGTGAAGGGTCTGCGCTACATTACTCCGAGGACCCTCCATAATGCCTGCACGGGCCTTCTGAGCCATGTTAGGGGGACCCGTTGCTCTCTCTCTCTCTCTCTCTCTCTCTCTCTCTCTCTCTCTCTCTCTCTCTCTCTCTC